GGCCCAGTAGCGTGGCATCGGAGCGCGTGTTTAGTGCGGCAGGAGGTATTGTAACTCCGCGGAGGACATGACTGTCCACCCAAAGTGTGGAGAGACTCTCGTTTGTGAAAATGAATCAGGCGTGGATTAGTCTGGATTTCAAACCACCAGTTCCTGACGCAACTGACCTAATAACCTAGCCGTTCAGGCCTCCCCTGAAACACCTCGGGAATTGCTTTGTATATCTGTCGCCTTAGAGGCCGCTGTCTGAACAGCTCATCAATTGCTTTCTATATGTGTCGCCTTTTGATGCCCCGCTGGCTGGACAGCTGATGAATTGATTTGTATTATGTACTTATTGTCCGCTGTCCGGACAGCTCATGAATTACTTTTTTGTATATAGCCTTCCAAAGCACTTCTCAGAATAAGTCATGTATTCATGCTGTGTATAGCCTTATACAGGCCAATGGTTCAATCAAGTCATGATTGTTATAGTGTGTATAGCCTTATAGGCCGCTGTCTTTACAACTTTATAATTCCAGTGCAGTCCTAGCCCTATCGGCCACTTTCTGGCATCCAGTTGCTGTAGCCCCCCATCACCACACTGTGCCACGGGCCCCTGTACCGCCTTCTCATACTGCTGCCAGATCATGCTGCTGCCATGTGCGTCTTTGTCGTCTGCTCACTATGCTGGGGTCCCTGTTTTAAATCTAGGACTGTGTATGGCTTCCGAATACTGCTGCCTCCACCGCCACACCTGCCCATGTGCCACTTTCAGGTCTCCTTACACTGTTGGTGGGTTCGATTTTGTGATAGGGTGCTGTGTATGGCCTTCCATTGCTGCTGCCTCCACCGCCAACCCTGCGCCATGTGCCCCTGTCGTCTGCTCACGCTGCTGACGGCTTCCCTTTTTAACCTAGGCCTGTGATATGGCCTTCAATTGAAGCTGCTTCTGCTCCGCCACCGCTCTGCTCCATGGACTCTTGATAGTCGTCTCCCCACGCTGCTGCTGGGGGGACTTTTTAACATAGGCCTCTGTATGGCCTTCAATTTTTGCTGCTTACGCTCCGTCACTCTGCCATGGGGGCCCCCGTACCGCGAACGCCTCCCATTGCTGGCTGCCAGGCCCGTAATCTGTCATGGGCCCCCGTACCGCCTCCCATTGCTGCTGCTGCCAGGCCCGTAATCTGTCATGGGCCCCTGTACCGCCTCCTCATGCTGCTGCCAGGTCCAGAGTGTGTCATGGGTCCCTGTACGGCCTCCCATTGCTGCTGTCTCCATCGCCACACTCTGCCATGTGCCACTTTCAGGTCTCCTCACACTGCTGGTGGGTTCCATTTTGTCATAGGTGTGCTGTATGGCCTCCCATTGCTGCTGCCCCACCGCCACACTGTGGCTCCACACTCTGGTTTTGGCCCCTGTGACTGCCCAAATGAGTGAAGTGTGCGGTGATTCTAAGATCGACGGCACTCATCTGCATGTCATACTGACTGACAGTATTATTTCTCTTCCCCAGCAGACTCCAAGGGCATTTAAATTAAAGGTACAGTGTTCTGCACTAATATAAAGGCTCTCTGAAGCCTAGAAACACCCTTTTTATAAGTTAAATTCGCAGCGAATATATTCGGCACGAAGCGAATTTAATCGGCGAATTCGGCGAATCAGCACCCGAACCGAATTTTGAATAATTCGCTCATCTCTATGAGAAATCTAACGCGTTTTGACTGTACAGTCTTCCGCATAGCATGCTAAAAGGAAGGCTGTATAGCCGAAAGTGTTAGCATTTCTCACACGGTACTTATAACGCATTTCGGCTATACAGCCTTCCTTTTAGCATGCTATGAGGAAGGCTGTATAGCCGAAACACATAAGTACAGTGTGAGACATTCTAAACCTGTTTCGGCTATACAGCCTTCCCTCATAGCATGCTAAAAGGAAGGCTGTATAGCCGAAACGCTTTAGCATTTCTCACACTGTACTTTTGACAACGTTTCGGCTATACAGCCTTCCTTTTAGCATGCTATGAGGAAGGCTGTATAGCCCAAACACATAAGTACAGTGTGAGTCATTTCTAACCTGTTTCGGCTATACAGCCTTCCTCATAGCATGCTATAAAGGAAGGCTGTATAGCTGAAACACGTTAGCATTTCTCACACTGTACTTCTGTCAAGTAGCCAATAGAGTCATCAGAAGAGCTCACCGGGTTGCCAGCGTTTTTTTTTTTTTTTTTGCCTTGTATTGTACGTTACTATTTGAGATACAAATTTAAAGGATAAGTTCACATTTTTACAAAAAAAATGCCTATGTTAATATTTTACATTACAGTTTTTTTTAGGAGCCTGTAAAACATTGCCACCAGCAATTGGATCGCTGGAGCCATGCAGGTCTCCTGCAGACTGTTAGGCCGGCCATACATGGGTCGAAATTCGACCCGATTTTTTTTTTTCATCCGAAAATTGGACCTAAGAATAATTGGCCGATTTTCCCTCTGTTAGTGGGTCAGTGGCACCAGCCAATTTTCGTGGTTCCTCCCCTTTTCGGGCGATCGGACATGTTGTAAAATTCATGAAAAACGACCGATTTTCGACTCGATGGTCAACGTACGAACGATCGTTTTTTCTTCTGAATAGAATATGCGCATGAGCCTTGACCTGGAAGGAACAGAGGTTTTCGCCTGTTATATGGGGTGAAACTTTATGACTTGGTCGGCCGATTTTCGAAATCATTGATGGCAACCATCGGATTACCGAGCGAACAACGTTTTCGATTTTCGGACGAAAAATCGTTTGGAATTCGACCCATGTATGGCCTGCATTAGTGTAATCAGTCTGCTTGTACCTCGTAGCACTCCTCTGGTGGGCAGCGAGTCCAAACACCGCTGTGTTCAAGCAGTACAGTCTCCACAATATCATTGGTATTGGATGCTTCCAGATGCTGCCCTCAGCGGCTCCTTTCACCAGCCCTTAGGTCACCGAGAAAAGTTTGGGAAAAGTTGGATTTGTGATGGATCTTTTGTTTTTTTGTTTCCTCCAGCCATGGTCTGCAGCGATTCTTCAGCTGTCGAGGAATTGCCATAGCAGTGGAGTATTTTTGGAAAAGAGGTCATCGGAAGATCACTGTCTTCGTTCCGCAGTGGAGGACAAAACGGGACCCCAACATCACGGGTAAATGTAATGGCTCCTTCTAGGTATTGATTGATCTTGTGGGCAGCACAAGGGCTAAGTGGTTAGCACTTCCTCCTGGCAGTACTCGGGGTCGTTGGTTCGAATCCCAACCATGGCACCACCTGCCTGGAGTTTGCATGTTCTCCCTGTGCCTGCGTGGGTTTCCTCCGGGTACTCCGGTTTTACTCCGAAGACATGCTGGGAGGTTCATTGGCTCCTGTCTATATTTTTGTCCCTAGTATGTGTATGTATGAATGTGAGTTAGGGACCTTAGATTGTATGCCCCTCGGGGGCGGGGACTGATGTGAATGTAAAGTGCTGAAAATACCTGAAATAATAAATAATAATCTTCATTGTGGTTTGGCTGCCTGAACCCGGAAGAGGCAGTCGGCTATCAGTGATGGAGGTGAACCCGGACTGTTACACCTGATCACAGCAGGACTGATCACAGCAGGACACAGCAGCTGCACTGGGGGGGGGGTTCCGGATGGGGACAGCTATATATGGTCAGGTCAGTTGATCACATATGTAGGACTGCAGGGATCTGTTGGGCAGGGATATATATGTAGGTCAGCGGATCACAGCAGGACAGCACTGGACAGCACTCGGATCCGTTGGGCAGGTATATATGGTAGGTCAGCACTGGATCACAGCAGGACAGCACTGGATCCGTTGGGCAGGTATATATGTAGGTCAGTGGGATCACAGCACAGGGCAGGTATATATGCACACAGGGATCCCGTTGGGCAGGTATATATGTGGTCAGTGGATCACAGCAGGACTGCACTGGATCCGTTGGGCACAGCGGATCCGTTGGGCAGCTATGTATTAGGTCAGTTGATCACAGCAGGACTGCACTGGATCCGTTGGGCAGCTAATATATGTAGGTCAGCGGAACACAGAAGGACAGCACTGGATCCGTTGGGCAGGTATATATGTAGGTCAGAGGATCACAGCAGGACAGCACTGGATCCGTTGGGCAGGTATATATGTAGGTCAGAGGATCACAGCAGGACAGGATCCGTTGAGGCAGGTATATATGTAGGTCAGAGGATCACAGCAGGACAGCACTGGGCATCCGTTGGGCAGGTATATATATGTAGGTCAGCGGATCACAGCAGGACAGCACTGGATCCGTTGGGCAGGTATATATGTAGGTCAGTGGATCACAGCAGGACAGCACGGGATCCGTTGGGCAGGTATATATGTAGGTAGGTCACAGTGGATCACAGCACTGGATTGGGCCAGCGTTGGGCAGGTATATATGTAGGTCAGCGATCACAGAAGGACAGCACTGGGATCCGACAGGACAAGCACTGGACAGGTATATATGTAGGTCAGCGGATCACAGCAGGACAGCACGGGATCCGTTGGGCAGGTATATATGTAGGTCAGCGGATCACAGCAGGACAGCATGGATCCGTTAGGCAGGTATATATGTAGGTCAGCGGATCACAGCAGGACAGCACTGGATCCTTTGGACAGGTATATATGTAGGTCATGGACAATGCTGCAATTAACAGTTCCTACTGAATGGCACTAGTGAGGGGTGTCAGGTCTGCTCTATAACACGTTTGTCTCCTATTTCTAATTGTCAGCTTTTTGTGATTTTTTTCCATACAGAGCAGCATTTCCTACAGGAACTGGAGGAGCTGGGCATCCTGTCTTTCACCCCCGCCAGGACCGTAATGGGCTCTCGGATTGCATCGCACGATGACAGGTCTGCCACAGTTTAGCATTTATATTGTTTCCTGAAGGAGTTCCAGCCGTTTTGTGTTTAATAAAAGTCAGCAGCTTCAAAAACTGTATCTGCTGACTTTTAATATACACACACTTACCTGTCCCGGGGGGGTGGTCCAGCAATGTTCTCACCCGCGCCATTCCTTTCTGTCCTGTCCGAACGGCGCTGGCATCTCTACTGTGGGCACCGGGCTGTGACCGCTTCACAGCCTGGTGCCCACTGCGCATGCGTGAGTCACGGCACGCCTCCTGATTGGTCCGGCAGTCTTCTAGGACCTGTGAAAGCTCCCAGGAGACTGCGGGAGCAAAGAGGGGGCCACTGCGAACTGAGCCGGAAGTGGGAGCGGGCACCTGTCAAAACCAGGTACCCGCTCCCCCCTAAACGGTGCCAAATATGGCAGTGGAGGAAGAGGAGGCAAATAAGCGGAGCTTCCACTTTTGAGTGGAACTCCGCTTTAAAGCGGAACTAAACCCTCCTATACTTTACAGCCAAGAAAGTTGACATCTTAGCCCGTGTTTGATCTGCAGTTGCCTTGGTGCTTTGATGATTTGACAGTTCGGTTGACAGCACGAGCAAATGTGACAGCTACCATTCGTGGCATAGGTGTTATTTTTCATCATTCATGGCATGCCTTGAGTTTTTAAAGCGAAGCTCCACCCAAAAGGGGAAGTTCTGCTTTAAGGACTGCTCCCCCGCTCCCCATTAAGGATTGGCACCTTTGGGGAGCAGGGGGTGGAGCGGGTACCCGAATTTGACAGGTGCCCGCTTCCACTTCCGGTCCGATCACCTAGGTGATTGGAAGTGGAAGGTGTCCTCCCTCTCTGTAGTCTTTTGGGACACGTGACAGGTCCCAGAAGACTACAGGACCATTCATAAAGTGCAGCGCTTCTCGCGCATGCGCAGTGGGTACCCGGCTGTAAAGCTGTCACACTGAAGATGCCGGCCTCCAGGAATACAGGATGGCTGGTGAAACGGGCTGCGGGGGACACACCACGGGACCGAGGAACAGATAAGTGGCCGGTTTTTAAAAGTCAGCAGCTACAGTAAACAGGTCTACTTTAGTGCCCCACTCCTCAATACTACATGCTGATATTTGCCTTTCTTCCCTGCTACTCTGTTCTTGCTTCTCGAAGAAGGAAAGGAAGCCTTATGAAAGCTCTGAGTTGCTGAAGTTGGAGCCATCTTCCTTTTTTCATGTAGGCCAATCATCAAGTACCTGTGCTGCACATGACAGAAAGGGGAGAAAGTCACATGTTCCTCTGTACCATTAAGTATGAGATCTTCTATACCGTACATCCCAGGACACAGGGTCCTCATTTCCATTAATATAGATCATCTTGGCACCTTTGGGTGATTGGATACTGACAAAAAATTAGGCAGTACCCTCCTAGGCATAACCCCACCCTATTAGGCAAGGCTTCCTTTTTTTTTTTTTTTTTTTTTTGCCTATGCATGTCTTATTTTCCCCAGTGTGAGTCTCGGTGGTATCACCCTCGCAAGTATTTGGTTGGTCACATCCTGGCTCTTCTCCAGTTTGAAGATGATTTGGGACTGGCCTTAAGTACTGTAACGGAACCGACCCCGACTGCACTTGGGTACTTCCGTTAGAATACCGCTTCCCCATCCACCGACCACAGACACCACTACTGACCGTACAAGACTAGACGACACCAGTCTTGAAGTAAACCGTAACGTCGACTACTTTATTTTAACACAGATACAAGATATATACACTCAAGGGACAAATCCTCCCTCCCTGCATAATGACACAGGGCGGGGCAATCTACCTTTAGCAACAAGAGACACACCAACAGACAGTCCCATCAGGAGGGAGGGCTGCTGAAGACACCCCCCCCCCCCCCCCCCCCCCCCCCCCAAGCCAATACACATAAACACATACATCCCATAATAGTTTGCTCCCAAGCAAGACAAACAACAGAACAATGGGATGCAACCACTTGGGGGGATGCAGCGCGGTTCCACTTTAAATGTACGTTTTTGACGGTAAAACAGATGAAATGAATTCACCGGTATTTCTTTTATCTTCCATTCTTAGATTCCTCTTGCATTTGGCAGAGAAAACGAGAGGAATCATCGTTACCAATGACAACCTGCGGGAGTTTGTGGTGGAATCGCCAGCATGGATGCAGATTATCAAAGAAAGGTGTGTGCGGCCATATTTTCCTCTCGAAGCAGAACTCCAACCATAACTGGTTTTTGTTTTTTTAATTTTGGATAATTATTAGAACTGTAGGGAGCTTATAAGTCCCATTGTGACAGTAATAAAGGGAAGTAAGAAAAGCGTCTGTTTTTGGCTTTTGCCGGTTTTTTTTGCCGTTTTTTTTTTTACAGTTCGTAAACTCCCCCAGTATGTTCTCCTATGTGTCCATGCACACATAGACTGTAAGCAACGTTTTTTGGCTGGACAAAAAAACCCAGGACTAGTGGGTTTCTAGAGGAGTTTTTAGCTGTAAAAACGCTCTGACGGTGAAAAATGTGGTAAACCGCCGCAAACTTGCGTTTTTGGACCTTTTTGTGACCAAAAAAATTAGGGGGGAGAGGGGGAGGAGGGGGGGAGGGGAAGGGGGAGGAGGGGGGGGGGAGGAGGAGGAGGAAGGGGGCAGGAGGGTGGGGAAAGGGGGGGAGGGAGGAGGGGGGGAGGAGGAGGAGGGGGGAGTCAGGAGGGTGGGGAAAGGGGGGAAGGGGGGAGGAGGAGGAGGAAGGGGGGGCAGGAGGGGAGGAGGAGGGAAGGGGGAAGGGGGGGTGGAGGAGGAGGGAGGAGGAAGGGGTGGAGGAGGAGAGGGAGGGGGAGGAGGAAGGGAGAAGGGGGGGGGGGAAGGAGGAAGGGAGAAGGCGGGGGAGGAGGAAGGGAGAAGGGGGGGGGGGAAGGAGGAAGGGAGAAGGGGGGGAAGGAGGAAGGGAGAAGGGGGGGAAGGGGGAAGGGGAGGAAGGGAGAAGGGGAGGAAGGGAGGGGGAGGAAGGGGAGAAGGGGAGGGAGGGAGAGGGGGGGAGGAAGGGAGAAGGGGGGAGGGGGGGAGGAGGAGGAGGGAGAGAGGGGGGGAGAAGGAGGAGGAACGGGGGGAGTGGGGAGAAGGAGGAGGAAAGGGGGAGGGAGGAGGAAGGAGGGGGGAGAGGGAAGGGGGATGTGAGGGAGGGACCACACATGATATTCAAGGCCTAATCATTTATAGACAATATAACAGGACCATAACAGATAAAAGGGAACCCAGGTCACAACAGGAAAAAAAAAAAAAAAAAGAAGAAAAACAAAGCGCTCCGGGTGTCTATCCGTCAATCAATTCCCCACAATAAATGCACATTTTAATATGTAAGTTCATAATGAAAACAATTGGTCCAGCAGTGACAGGAATAAATAACTTTCATATTTTTCCTCCAGGATATTGCAGTACACGTTTGTCGGTGACATTTTTCATGCTTCCTGATGATCCATTGGGAAGATATGGTCCGAAGCTCAACGACTTTCTCACTACATGGCCTGAGCACAGGTATCCCTCAGATACAGTAGTCCAGCATTTGCTTCTTTGCCGTCTATCTCACTGGGAATGATTTATACATTTATAAAAAGTCCTTTTGATTTGGCCTTTCCAATCAGGTCCACCTTTCAATTTTTCAGATGTGCATTTCTTTGCATCCGCCGCCTTCTGAGTCCAAAAAAAAACTTCAAAAGGACATCATCCTTTACTGTTTGTCCAGACCTAAATGTAATGGATTGGAGCTAGCCTGATGTAATTGGATGCAAGTCTGTTTACATCCGACCATCAATAGATCCAAAATGGGTCAAAATGCGCACAAAAAGCTGATTGGGCACCGCAAAATACACCCATATGAAAGGACCCCCAAAAGAGAACTGTACCTTTACTACAAGATGTCCTTTAACCACTTACCCTCCAGAGGATTTAAACCCCCCCCCCCCCCCCCCCTTCCTGACCAGGCCATTTTTTGCGTTATGGCACTGCGTTACTGTAACTAACAATTACACGGTCATGCAACTCTGCACCCAAATGAAATTTACATCCTTTTTTTCCCACGAATTGAGCGTTCTTTTGGTGGTATTTGATCGCCTGTGCAGTTTTTTTTTTGCGCTATAAGGAAGAAAAAAAAAAGAGACAGCGGCTGCTGTTTTCTCGCCCAGTGAGGAGGAGGGAGAAACCCAGGAGAGCCATTGCTCTCATGCACAGTGCTGGATCGTGATTGGGTTCAGGTACATTTTTTTTTTTTTTTTGTATTTTTTGTGGAAAGCATGAAGGTAAAAAAAAAACCTTCAGTGTGAGGCTCCCTTCTGAGACTCACACTGAAGGGTTTTTTTTACCTTCATGCTTTCCACAAAAAATACAAAAAAAAATGTACCTGAACCCAATCACGATCCAGCACTGTGCATGAGAGCAATGGCTCTCCTGGGTCTCTCCCTCATTGGGCGAGAAAACAGCAGCCGCTGTCTTTTTTTTTTTTCTTATAGTGCAAAAAAAAAAAAAACTGCACAGGCGATCAAATACCACCAAAAGAATGCTCAATTCGTGGGAAAAAAAACTTTCATCCTTCACAACCACTTTAAAGCGGAAGAAAACCCTAATTACACGTGTTCTTAAAAATGTTCCCTCCAAGTATCATGCGTGACCTGTATAAAAAAAAGATGTGTGTACTTACCTATTTTTAATCCACTCCGGTCATGTGACCATTTCTTCCACTTTCACAGGATCAAATAATTTTTTTTTTTGCTTGCCTGCATTTCAGCTTTCATGGATTAATGTGGACAGGCGATGTCACTTTTATGTAACGGCTCATCTTTTTCCCCCCTCTCTCTTTATTACCTTTCCAGAAACACATCTGTGACCCGTCCCCCGGACAGCGGAGTTTTTTTTTCCCAGCCAAGACTTTCCTTTCACCAGAGAAGCCGCCATACACAACCGCGTGCCTCCCAACCCGCTTCCTCCCAGGCAGATCAATCCAGCAATACTGAACCTGCCCCGCCCCAGGGCGCCTCCCCCCGCCCAGAGGAGCTTTAATGAGACTGCCTCTCTGAAGGCCGAACTGTCTAAAATATTTCCGGAGATGGAGCAGATCGAGAAAATCAACCAGGTTTTGTCCGCTCACCCTTACATGCGGGATCTCAATGCCCTGTCCGCCATGATCCTCGATTGAAGATTAAAGGTTTCAGTTCTGTATTCGTTTCACCAGTTTTGTGTACAATTTGGAACAGCCATGGTGCAGGCCGAACCAAACTTCTTTTTTTTATCTGCAAGGTTGGTTTTGGATTGCAGTTTACATTTAAGTGTTCACCTTTACAGAAAATCTATAAGGTGGCCTAACATTGGACCCCCCCCCCTTCCCACCCCCCTGGTCTTGCTTTCCTTCCCACCCCCCTGGTCTTGCTTTCCTTCCCACCCCCCTGGTCTTGCTTTCCTTCCCACCCCCCTGGTCTTGCTTTCCTTCCCACCCCCCTGGTCTTGCTTTCCTTCCCACCCCCCTGGTCTTGCTTTCCTTCCTTCCCCCCCTGGTCTTGCTTTCCTTCCTTCCCCCCTGGTCTTGCTTTCCTTCCTTCCCCCCTGGTCTTGCTTTACTTCCTTCCCCCCTGGTCTTGCTTTACTTCCTTCCCCCCTGGTCTTGCTTTCCTTCCTTCCCCCCTGGTCTTGCTTTCCTTCCCACCCCCCTGGTCTTGCTTTCCTTCCCACCCCCCTGGTCTTGCTTTCCTTCCCACCCCCCTGGTCTTGCTTTCCTTCCCACCCCCCTGGTCTTGCTTTCCTTCCCCC